CGGATGGCAGAGGGACATTGGAGAGGTTACAAGTATGGGATCCCCACCATGACTCAAAAAAACAGGGTCAATTTTACCTGTTTAGTTGAACGTCTCTTGCAATGATTTGCTTTTTTTTTTTTTTTTTTTTTTTTTTTTTTGAGGCGGGTGTCTTCCTCTGTTGCCGGGCTGGAGTCGCAGCTGGGCCGGTCTCAGCTCACTGCAAGGCTGGGCCTCCCAGGTTGTACGCCATTCTGCCTCAGCCTCCATTTTCATTGGCTTTTTTTGAGCACCGCCTGATCCCCCAAACCAAAGCCAGATCCAAGCCCCAACCGACCTGGTTTCACTGGTAAGAGCCTCTAACCCTCCGGGTGGCCTCTATGTCATTTACCCGGCAGTGATGTTCATGTCATCTGAGAAGAGGAGATTTCAGGTGAGCCTGTTCCTGCTGTTGAATTACAAGGTGATTGCAGTGCTCAAGTAGTGGAAAACCTAGATTTCAAAAATAGTTTTCGGTTTGGATTTTATTTTTCTTTTCTTGATGTCACTTCAAAGATAAACGGAACTTCCAGATAACTGAATAAGAGCTTTTAGATGTAGACTTACTATGGGGAAAACCATCTCTGTGTTTCCTATGGGGAAGCCAACTTGTTTTAAATAATTAGATTTTTACTGAGTGTTTTTCTTTACACGTTTGTTTAATTTTTAACACAGAAAACTATCAAGATGGTCTAAATCCTGTTGACATTTTTATGGTTTTTTGCTGGTAATGTTATTATTGGCATAAGAATATTCCTTGAACATTTTCTTGTGTCATTTAATCATTTGTATCATATGACTTTACATTATTATACTACAATTATACTACATACTTAATTACATACTTTGGTTTCTTTAATCCCTAATTCTGAAGTTATGTTTCTTCTGATGTTTTGGAATTATAAATTACAAAGCAAATTTGACTGCCCTTCATGCACTTTCCTTTATGTTTGAAGATATGTTTCTAGAGTGCAAGTTGTTTAGATCAATGTTTGTGAGTACATTGGTAGCTTCTGACATGGTTTTGAAATTGCCTCAGAATTGCACCAATTTATTTTGATGGCAGCGGGGTGCGCAGATGACCCTTTCCTCACACCATCTCCGATAGTGGTGTTCACCAAAACATCTTTGTCCAATAGTGCAAAATGTCATGCTAACCTTGTCTTAGTTTCATGTCTTTAATTCTGAAACTTGAAAGAAAAACAATGCATCACTGGGCCGTGGACACTTCTTCTGTGTATGGCATACTGTGGCTTTTATTCTTCTGTGCTAGTATGTCCTCCCTGATTTCTAGTCATTTTTGAATTACTTATAGACAATTAACATTGCCCAGTATATTATGAAAATGTGTTTCCACTTTATTGTTGCCTCTGAAAACATTTTGAACAGAACCATTTACAAGCAAGACTTGAATTTTTCTTTTTTATGTTGTCTTAGATTTGTGTGAGTTTCCACCTTTGTGTATCATGTTTTTCCTTTTAACTTCAGAACCATTTTATCACTGTCTCTCTTCCCTCTTGGGAAAAAGAAAACCATCTTTTTCTTTTCTTTTGAATTACTTACAACTATGAATTGATTTATAGAATGCTAAAATATTTGTAAAACCGAGCATTTTCATTGGGACTCAAATTCTTCTGTGTGCCTTTTTCTCCTGGTGATTTCTTTAAATGGATTTCTAAGGTGTTTTCCCGTCAGTAGTGATTTGTTTTGCTGAATACATTTTTATGTGTGCTGTTCTTCTCTCTATTTCTGAACTATATCAGCATTTTTGTGCATTCTCTCTTACTCTCCACTGAATGATGAACCTTATGAACTCCAATTGTTCTCTCTCCATTTCTTGTATTTCTAAGAAGACTGACATATAAGCAATTTTTAAAAATTGTCTGCTTTTCTGTGTTTTTTCGTTGTCTTCAGCGTGCATTCTTATTTTTATTGAAGTGGCTTTGCTAGAGAACACATGATGGCTTTAAGTATAAGTGAAGAGAGTAGACATTTTTTTATTCCTGATTTCAAGGCAAAAACCTAAAGAGGTTCACCTTTAAATAAAATAAATGGTCTTTGCAAAACCAGATATTCATTCCAAGAAGATCTCTCTATTCTAGTACACTTTCTTTTCTAAACATATAATAGTATAGGTTCTCATACCGTGAGACTTCTTACTTCTTTATACACAATAGATTTGAAAAATCATCCATTTTTTAGTGATGACTAATGTACTGTTGTTACATGGTGTTGAAAAGTGTTGGATTCAAAGTAGCCCCTCATGTTTCCTTCATTTAAGCCTCCTTTTTTCCCCTTCCCCATGTAAAAAGCTCCTGATGGCCAGGAATAGAGGTTCACACATATAATCCCAGCACTCTGGGAGGCTAAGATGGGAGGATCTTTCAAGCCCAGGAGTTCAAGACCGGCCTGGGCAACATAGCAAGACCCCCTCTCTAAAATGAAATAAAAAATTAGCAAGCGTGGTGGCACATACCTCCTGTCCCACCTGCTTGGGAGGCTGAGGCAGGAGGATTGCTTGAAGCCAGGAGGCGGATCCTGCAGTGAGCTGTGGTCAGACCACTGCACTCCAACCTGGGTGACGGAGGAAGACCCTGTCTCAAAACAAAACAAAAACAGTTGCTCTACCTTAATTAGAATTTGAAAAGCTTAGAACTGGAAGGCAGCCTCTGAAATGATCAAGAACATACCTGGTGGGTAGACCCACTTTTTAGACGCTCTCTAGTCCAAATCTGATCACAGTCATTCTTCCTCACCTCTTCGGGTCTCCCTCACAGAAGGCATTGGGGGTGTCGAACGAGATGATGATGGGATGGGAATAAACAGGAGCAAACAGTGTGCAGGCAAAGTTGGAGTTCCTACTCAGTCCGGGAGCAGAATTGATTTATGAATTTCTTTCTCTCTTTGTGTCTATCTCTTTTTTCTCTTTCTCTTTCTCTCTTCCCCCCAGCCCCACACCCCGACCTTCTGATCTCTAATCTGTTCTGAGAGAAGAGTGATGTGAAAATGGTCAGGAATTTGCTTTTTCTAATGAGATCCTGGTGAGAGTCATATTCAGAAAAGTATTTAGTCACATGGGGCTCCGGTGATTTCTCTGTTTATGAGCTCATTCCTTCCTCATTTCTGAGAACTTTGGTGTTAACAGCCCGTTTCCTTTTTGTAGGGGCTGACTTGGACTTCGCAGATGCCTTTCATGGTGGAGGAAATCGTGAGTAGCTCTTTAAAGTCTCCTCTGTTGCTGACTTGCTTGTTATCACTCAATTATTATCATTTGCGAGAGACTTACCTCTTGAGAAATGATCAATGGAACTTGTTTGCACCATAGAAACTTAGGGAGTAAGTGTGATGTTGTTGTCTGTTTTTGATGTTGTTGGACTTTTTTTTTTTTTTATTTACCAGTTCACTTGCTTTTGTTTAGTCTTTGGAATGATGTAAGGCAAATGTGACTCTCCTGGCCATGTGAGGCGCACAGGCATGCGACTTGTGAAGCCACCCAGGGAGCTGTGCTTACAAAGGTGCTATATTGGTTTACTGGTCTGTAGTTACCATGTTGCTCTTCTTCATACAGTTGGGATGAGGGTCCCACATTTTTGTTTTGCACAGGACCTTGCCAATTCTGTCACTGGGCTAGACAGCTGCTTTAGTTTAATTTGATGTTAAACAATGTAGCTGGAAGTGATGGAAGAAAGTTGGCAGGAGGCTGTGTGTATGGTTATCCCTGCCATGACAAGCAGCAAGCTCCAACTTTTACCTGATCTGTCAGCCATCTCTGTGCAAATTGATGTTGCATTTTCTTTACTCTAAGACAGTCACAATTGCAACTTTCATTGTCACGAAGAGATGACCCAGCACCTCCTAATTCACCCAAGCCGAAGCCAAATGCAAACCCTAAGCAACCTGGATTCATTGGTAAGTGCTTCTCACGCTATGGGTTGTCTGTATATTGCCCATAGTAGAGCGGCGTCCACGTCAGCCGGACAAGGGGCTTTCAGATGAGCGTGTGCTTGCTATTAACTCTGTACAGTGATTCCATTGGGCAGGGAGGGAAGTACACAGTTTTCTGAAATAGATATTTGACTTCATTTTATTTTTAGTTTGCTGATTTTACTTCCAAGATTGTATGGAACTTCTAAAACACTGAGCACAAGATTTTCATATGAACTTGGTATAGAGAAAATGGCCTGTGCATTCCCTGTAGAGAAACTTGGGTGTTTTCAATGTTTTTGCTCTTGAATATTTGTATCAGCTATTTTGACACAGGAGAGCATTCTCAGGGTAATCTGACTAGCAACTGGTTTTTGAAGTGAATTGTTGTGAAACATTCAGGGTTTTAGTTTTGTTTTTGTTTTTAATTTTTAACACAGAATCATAAATAATGTGCCTGCGCTCTTGGCATTTTGATGGTTATTTGCACTTATATTTTATATATCAGTTTAAATGAAGCAAATGTTAAGTAATAAAGCCAGTTTTTTGTTCATACTGCACTGTAACATTATTATTATTATTATTATTATTATTTGAGATGGAGTCTCGCTCTGTCACCCAGGTGGGAGTGCAGTGGCACGATCTCAGCTCACTGCAACCTCTGCCTCCTGGGTTCGAGCAATTCTCCTGCCTCAGCCTCCTGAGTAACTGGGATTACAGGCATGCACCACCATGCCCAGCTAATTTTTTTGTGTGTATTTTTAGTACAGGTGGGGTTTCACCACGCTGGCCAAGCTGGTCTCAAACTCCTGACCTCAGGTGATCTGCCCACCTCGGCCTCCCAAAATTCTGGGATTACAGGCATGAGCCACTGCACCCGGCCTATTTTATAGTTATTAATAGTCACTGAACATTTGCTCATGTCATTTTATCATTTATATCATATGACATTTACTGTCAATTATATACTATTCTATATAAATATATAATACATTAATTTATTTAACTAATCCCTAATGTCTAAAATATTGTGTCTTCTGACTTTTTAGAGTTATGAATTACAAGGCAAATTTGAGTCAACTTCATCTGCTTTTTTTTTTTGAAGAGATTTCTGGTATTCAAATTGTCTAGATCAATGTATATGAGTCCTTTTCTAGTTTTTGACCTGGTTCGCCATTTGCCCCAGAATTGTCCCAGTTTATTTTGATGATGGTGTGTGCAGATGTCCCTATCGTCACACCATCTCTACTGGTTATCACCTACAAAACCTTTGTCAGATAGTGTAAGGATTGTATCAAACTTGTCTTAGTTTCACATCTCTAATTCTGAAATTAAAAAAAAAAATAGTGCATTCCAGTTAGCCATGGATACTTCTTTTGTGTATTGGATGTTATACCCTTTATTCTTAAATTGTCATATGTACCTACTGATTTATAAGTCTTCTTCAGTTATTTATGGATATTAAAGATTATTAGCCTATGAAAATGTTTTTGCTATGTATTTTTGCCTTTTAATATTTTTCACAGGAATGTTTCACAAGCAAGACCTATTTTTTTTAATGGTGTCTTAAGTTTGTGTTGGTTTTCTGGTTTTTAAATTTTTTTTGATGGAGAATAATTTTGCCATCGTGTCTCCCACTTGGGAAAAGCAAAACCGTCTTTTTAATTTCATTTACATTGTCTTCAAACATAAGTTGATCAAAGAAGTCGGGAAACATTTTCAAAGTTGAGCTTTTTCCTTGAGATTTGATGCATCTGTTTTTCCTGATAATTTCTGTCAATGGATTTCTCAATTGTTTTTTGTTTCTCTGAATCTATTTCTATGTCCACTATTTTTCTGTTTGTTTCTATAATATACAAAGGATTTTGTATATTTTTCTTTACGATCCACAAATTGCTTGCAAATTATTTTTTTTAATTTCCTCTTTTTTATATTTGTACATTTCGTTTACAGTTTATTTGTAATTTGGTTGTACTGTCTTTGCTAGATAAACCCAGGACAGCTTTTCATATGTAGAATTGTAAATGCAGTAAACAGCTTTTATTTCAGACTTTAGGGCAAAAACCCAAGGAGATTCACCTTTAAATAAAATAAATCACTTCAAAAAGCCTCTTTCTACTCTAGTATACTTTTTTTCCTAAACATATAATAATACAGTTTCTCATACCATGAAATATATTATTTATATGCAATATGTTTGACTACTTATTTGATTTTTATTGATTACTCATGTACTGTTACATGGTTTTGGAAAAATGTTGGATTTGATGTAGCTCCTCGTGTTTCTTTTATTTACATTTCCTTGTTATCCCCTTTCAGTGTAAAAATTTCCCCAACCTGGCTGGGCACAGTGGCTCACCCTTGTAATCCCAGCACTTTGGGAGGCTGAGGCGGGTGGATCACAAGGTCAGGAGTTCGAGATCAGCTTGGCCAATATGGTGAAACCCCATCTCTACTAAAAATACAAAAATTAGCTGGGTGTGGTGGTGGGCACCTGTAGTCCCAGCTACTCAGGAGACTGAGGCAGGAGAATCTCTTGAACCTGGGGGAGGAGGAGGAGGTTGTAGTGAGCCGAGATCGCAACACTGCCCTCCAGCCTGGGGGACGGAGCAAGACTCCGTCTCAAAAAAAAAAAAAAAATCGCCAACTTTAGTTGGGATTTGAAAAGCTTAAAACTAGAAGGCAACCTCTGAAACCATGGTGAGTTTTCACGTCAGTTTGTCTGGCACATCTGGGTTGGTAGAGTCACGTTTTAGACACCCGCTAGCCCCTCTTAGGGCCTCCCTGGCGGACGGTGTTGGTTACCTGGGGGGAGATGATATTTGGACAGGAAATCAACAGGAGAGAACCATGTGCAGGTTAGAGTTGGAATTCCAACTCTGTCCAGGCAGCACAATTGGTTTATAAATTAGTTTATTTCTCTCTCTCTGGCTCTCATCTTTTGCTGTTTTCATCAGCAGGGAGAGTGATGTGAAAATGATCAGGAATTCATTTTTTCTGTTGAGATTCTGGTTAGAGGGATATCCAGAAAAGTATTTAGGAACGTCGGGTTATGGTGTTTTCTGCATCTGTTTACGAGATCATTTCTTCCTCATTTCTCTGAGAACTTTGGTGTTAACAGCCAGTTTCCCTTCTTTAGGGGATGACTTTGACTTAGCAGATTCCTTACATGACAGAGGAAACTGTGAGTAACTCCTTAAAGTCTCCTCTGTTGCCGACTTGCTTATTACCACCAAATTATTATCGTTTCCAAAAAACATACATCTCTTGTGAATGATCAATGAAACCTGTTTGCACAGTGGAAAATTAGGGTAGGTGTGTCGTCGTTTGTTTTTGATGTTGTTGGACTGTTTTTTCTTTTTTTTTTTCTTTTTTTTTTCTTTTTTTTTACCAGTATGCATAGTTTTATTTTAAAATTCTTACAGTCTTTGGAATGATGTAAGGCAAATGTGACTCCCCTGGCCAGGTTAGGCTTCATGAGTGGGTGACTTGTTCGATCACCCAAGGACCCATGCTTACAAGGGTACCATATTGGTTTATGAGTCTGTAGTTGTCATCTTGAAATTCTTAATACAGTTGAACAAGGGTTTCTGTATTTTCATTTTACACAGTACCTTGCCAATTCTATAGCTGATCTGAAAAGCTGCCTGATAGGTTTTGTTGAAAATACTTGAAGATAAGTACTGTAGCTGGAAGATGTTGGAAGGATATTGGCAGCAGACTGTATGGGTATCCCCACCATGACAAAGAACAAGGTCCAGTTTTTATCTGTTTAGTGAACGTCTGTATGCACATTGATGTTTCATTTTCTTCACTGCAAGGCGCTCATAATCGCAACTCGCATCTTACAAACAGATGAGCCAGCACCACCTGACACACCCAAACCAAAGCCAAGTCCAAACCCCAAGCAGCCTGATTCCACTGGTAAGAGCCTGTAACCCTGTGGGTCATCTGTATGTTGTTTACAGGACAGTGATGTCCATGTCAGCTGGGAGGAGATTTCACGTGAAACCTGTGCTCACTCTTCACTCCTTGTACAAGGAAATTCCAGTGTTGAAGTGGCGAAAAACCTAGTTTTCAACTATATGATTTTTATTTGGATTACATTTTTAGTGTCCTGATTTTACTTCTAAGATTTTAAGATATAAGTCATAAATCTTAAATAGGATCTTAAATTCTGAGATTTTTTGGATTCCACCTCTAAAAAGTTGAATGCCAGGTTTTAAACATAGACATGATATGAAGGAAGGGATCTTTGCATTCCCAGTGGAGAAGTGAGTGCTTTTTGAATAATTAGTTACTGAATTTTTTTTTTTTTGTTTACACGCTTGTTTAACTTGTAACACAGAAAAATATAGTGTCCAAATCCTGTTGACATTTTGATAGTTATGTGCTAGTAACGTTATTTTTGGCATATTCATATTTCTTAATGACTTTTTCATGTCATTTAAGTCTTTCTAACATGACTTTTACTGTCAATTTTATATTCTTATTTGTTTCACACATAATTATATACTTCAGTATTTAATTTCAAACATGTTATGTTTCTTCTAACATTTTAGAATTACGCATTTCAAAGCCAATTTGAATCAACTTTATGCACTTGTTTTTATTCCTTTGAATCAATTTCTAGAATGCAAATTGTTTAGATCAATGTGTACGAGTACTTCTATAGCTTTTGACCTGGTTCTGAAATTGCCCCAGAATTATATGAATTTATTTTGATGCCAGGGATATGTGCAGATGTCCCTTTCTTCCCACCATCATTACTGCTGGTGATCACCTAGAAAACCTTTGTCGTGTACTATCACATGGAACATTAATCTTTGCCTAGTTTCAGTTCTTTACTTCTGTAATTAAAAAAAAAAAAATAGTACATCAATTGGCCATATATACTACTTTTTTTTTTTTGAGAGTCTCGCTCTGTCGCCAGGCTGGAGTTCAGGGGCACCATCTTGGCTCACTGCAACCTTTGCCTCCCAGGTTCAAGCAGTTCTCCTGCCTCAGCCTCCCAAGTAGCTGGGACTACAGTAGGTGCACACCATCGTGCCCAGCTAATTTTTTTTTTGTATTTAGTAGAGACGGGGTTTCACCAGGTTGCCCAGGCTGGTCTCCTGAGCTCAGGCAATCTACCCGCCTCGGCCTCCCAAAGTGCTAGGATTGCAGGCAAGAGCCGCTGTGCCCAGCCTACTTCTTCTTTTAGGTATTTGTTACTTTGCCTTTATTCTTATCTCCCGATATGTCCCTACTGTTTTGTAAGTGTTCTTCATTTTTTTATAGACATTAAATATTGCCAACCATTTACTATGAAAATGCTTTTTCATCTTATTTTTGCCATTAGATAGTTTAACAGTATTTTTTGACAGGCAAGTCTTCAAATTTTTATTCATGGTGTCTTATATTTGAGCGTTCTGATTTTGGTGACTTTTTTTTTTTTGAGACAGAATCTTGCTCTGTCGCCCAGGCTGGAATGCAGTGGCATGATCTCGACTCACTGCAACCTCTGCCTCCTGGGTTCAAGCAATTCTCCTGCCTCAGCTTCCCGAGCAGCTGGTACTACAGGTGCCCACCACCACACCCAGCTAATTTTTGTATTTTTAATGGAGACAGGATTTCACCATATTGGCCAGGCTGGTCTCGAACTCCTGACCTCATGATCTACCTGTCTCAGCCTCCCAAAGTGCTGGGATTACAGGCGTGAGCCACCACGCCCGGTTGACATTTTTTCCTTTGAACCTCAGAACCATTTTGTCATTGCTCCCTTCCCTTTTGGGAAAAATAAAACCTTTTTTTTTTTTTGAATTGTTTACAAGTAAGAGTTGACTTGTAGAGTGCCGACATGCCTGCAAAATTGAGATTTTTCTTGATATTCGACGTACCTCTTTCCCCGATGATTTCTTTTAATGCAGTTCTAATTTTTTTCTTTTTTCTTTTTTTTGTTTCTCTGGATATATTTTTATGCCCACTATCTTTCTGTTTATTGTTGTAACATAGAAAGGATTTAATATATTTTTCCTTACTGTATCCTGAGCTATGATCCCTTATTAAATTTCTATTTTTTTCTCATTTCTTACCTTTCTAAGAAGACAATCATATTATTTGCACATGATTTTAAAATATTTTTCAATTTTCTGTGTTTATATGTTCTCTTCACATTTTATTTGTATTTTTGTTGTATTACCTTTGATAGTAAACCCAGGACAGGTTTTTTTTTTTTTTTTTTTTTTTTTTAAGACGGAGTCTCGCTCTGTGGCCCAGGCTGGAGTGCAGTGGCCGGATCTCAGCTCACTGCAAGCTCCGCCTCCCGGGTTCACGCCATTCTCCTGCCTCAGCCTCTCGAGTAGCTGGGACTACAGGCGCCCGCCACCTCGCCCGGCTAGTTTTTTGTATTTTTTTAGTAGAGACGGGGTTTCACCGTGTTAGCCAGGATGGTCTCGATCTCCCGACCTCGTGATCCGCCCGTCTCGGCCTCCCAAAGTGCTGGGATTACAGGCTTGAGCCACCGCGCCCGGCCAATAGTAAATGCAGGACAGGTTTAAATATGAGTGAAGAGAGCAGATATTTTAAATTCCTGACTTTAAAGTGAAAACCCAAAGATATTAACCTTTAAATAAAGTAAATTGCCTTTTAAAAAATGTACTCATTTCAGGAAGGGTCTCTCTATTCTGGTATACTTTTTTCCCAAAATATATAATATTATTGGTTTTCATACCATGAGGTTTCTTACTTCTTTATATATATTTGTATAATCATCTGGTTTTTATTGATTACTCGTCAAAACCATGTAAGTTATTGATTACTCATTGAAACTCTTATGGAAGTGTATTCTTACATGGTTTTGGAAAAATGTTGGATTTGATGTAGCCCTTCATGTTTCTTTTATTTCAGCCTCCTTATTATCACCTTTCAGTGTAAAATTGTCTCCAACCTTAGTCGGGATTTGAAAAGCTTAACACTCGAAGGCAACCTCTGAAACCACGGTGAATTTTCACGTCAGTTTGTCCAGCACGTCTGGGTTGAGAGAGCCATTTTTTAGACACCCTGTCGCCCAAATCTGATCACAATCATGTGTCCCCATCTCTTAGGGCCTCTGTGGCGGAGGGTGTTGGTTACCTGGAGGGAGATGATGATGGGATGGGAAATCAACAGGAGGGAATCATGTGTTGGCAGGGTTGGAGTTCCAACTCCGTCCAGCCAGCGCAGTTCATTTATAAATTACTTTGTTTCTCCCTCTCCCTCTCTTTCCACCCCCGACTCTTGCTCTCATCTTTTACTCTTTGCATCTGAGAGAAGAGTGATGTGAAAATGATCAGGAATTTGCTTTTTCTTATAAGGTCCTGGTCACAATGATACTTAGAAAACACTTAGAAACACAGGCCTGTGGTGTTTTCTCCATCTGCTTCCAGGTCATTTCTTCCTCATTTCTCTCAGAACTTTGGTGGTAACAGCCTGTTTCCCTGGTTTAGGGGATAACTTTGATTTCATAGATGTTTCTTCGTGGTGAACGAAACACTGAGTAACTCTTTAAAGTCTCCTCTATTGCCGAATTGCTTATAGTTTATTTGTATTTTTGCAGTGCTGTAGGAAGAGCAGTGATGAAGGTTTGAGGCTTCTAGATGCTTCCATATTAGTTGCCTGAGGCTTAGGCAGGGGACATGTGGACCCCTGGGGGGACGTGACAGTTGAGATGACAGCTGAGGAATGAGGATGACTTATATCCCAAGGAGTGGGCCAAAGGGAGTTTTGTGTAGCAAGTGTGGCATGTGCAAAGGGCCTGTCGTCAATGGAACTGAGGCTGCCTGTGGGGCTCAGTGAGGGGGAAAAGAAGAAGTGAGGTATGGCATGGGATGGAGGGGAGCAGAGTGAGGCCACAGTCAGTGCCCAGTCTTCAAAATGTCCCTTTGAGTGTCCCCAGGGGCCATCCTTGTTTTCAGTGCTTATTACTCTTGCTCCCCTCTGCTTGCTCCCAGAGAGCTCTCTCCTGCCTTCCAGCTCTGCATCTCTCAGATCCTGGCTCTGATCCCACGCTGCTGTTGCTTACACTCATGTACCCGTTGCTAATGTCATCATTCCCTTCAGCAGCTAAGTGCAAAATTCACTTCCCATTAGAAAAGCAGTCTATACTAATAACAGCCAACTGGGAGACCCTAAAGAGTGCAGTTAAAGAAAAAAAAAAATTCAAATTTTCCCTCGAGAAGAAACCAGTGATATCACTTGGGTCCACCTCTCTGAGGTTCAAAAGCCTCTCCATTAGTGTTAGTTGCTTTTAGGCCTGTTCTTACTGCATTAGCAAGGTGTATCTTTCTCTTCATATGCAGACAGTGCCCTTTCCTGGTGGGAGGCTCTCAGTCTCTGTCTACAAATCCAAGACCTGAGAGGTAGAGGGGTCCCCAACTGTCTGTCTTCTGCCAAAGTGGTGCCCTTGGGAATCACCAACTTCCTATGCCCACCTGTTCCAGCTACTTGGTTCACTTTGACCCAGCTCCTCCGAGGTGACACCCTTCCTCATCAGGCTCCCAGATTCCATCAGGTGTTCAAACCCCATGTGACAGGTGAAATACTGGTCCCCAGAGATGCCCACATTCTAACCCCTTGATCGTGTAAATGGGTGACCTTATGCAACACATGGGACTTTGCAGGTGGGATTTCATTAAGGATCTTGACATGGGAAGATTATTTAGGATGAGCTGTGTAATTGCAATGGAATCACATGTTCCTTATAAGAGTGAGGCCTGTATCAGAGGATGAAGGAGGTGTTCATATGTGGAAAGAGACAGAAAGAAAAGTGGAGAGAACCATTGAAAAAAAGTAATTGAAAGACTTTGGCACCCAGGTTACCATGGCTGCCCCCAGCCCTTCAAATTCTCCTAAAGCCTCAAATGATCTTTGCCTGGAAGATGCACCAGCCCACTGGATAGCTGAGA